GGGGCGGTTTGGCAAAGTATTGTTATCTGTGCTCAAATCAGAAGCGTTAATGTCGTCTCTGAGCCTGTGCTGTTGTCATCATTTGAAGATTTCAGCCCAGATGCACAAAAATCCTCCGAAATTCGTCGTTTTCGTGAAGCAGTCACACGCGACGCCGACACCATCCTTGAAACTATGCACGCTCACCCGCACATAAAGAAAGACGCTTTTGTAAGGGAAAACTATCGGTCGGTGAAGAAACCAGACTGACCACTGTTTCTTGTTTCCAACTTCTTCCTCTTCTCTTGCAGTACTAGCCTGCACACGTCTATTTCTTTTCTTTTCCAACATACTCTCACCCCCCAGTAGCGTCGCTCAATTCCAGCCTGTACAATTTCTGGACTGGTTTTCTGAAAAATTTTCCATCTTGAGCTTTCACTCGACAAGCTCGTATTATACCATCTTGTCCAGGGTAAACGTCCGTGATCGCCCAAGGGGCCAAACTCCTCTGGAAATGCCAGGCTCTTCAATTATCACCACGTCATTCACTCGGAGACAGCTGCTGGGATGAGCTGGGTATAGGTGAAGTACCCGTAGTTCTAACACTCTTTTTTTCTATCGCATCCACCTATGATCCATCATCTTCTGTTGGTATCTCAACTTTTTGTTCATGTCTGTTTGATTAGCTTGAGCACTGATGGCATTATTGTCATTGTTGCTCTGCTCCGGAGGCGCTAACAATGAACGTCCTACAAGAAAACGGGCTGGACATATCAGAGAGGGCTCTCTGGCGTCCGTACACGTGTACGTCAGCGGTGTTGAATTAACAACCGCTTCTACCTCTAGTAGGATCGTCTCAGCTTGTTTGCTGCTCAGCTTGCTTTTTTCCATCACCTTGAGCAACGATGATTTGACAGTCCGGACAAGCCTCTCCCATCAACCGCCCTACCGAGGTGCACCTGGATCAATAAACTTCCACTCTATGCTGTAGGTCAGCAGAAAAGATGCAAATAGAGAGCTCTTCATGACACTCCAGATGCTCCTGAGGTCCCGTGATGCTTTCTTGAAGGCGAGAGCATTATCCGAGTACATTGTTGCGGGTACTCCTCTGCGAGCAAGAAACCTCCGGAATGCTAGCAAGAAAGGTGCTGGACGAGATTGTACTCGTCAGTTCAAGGTGTACTGCTCCAGTCGTCGCACAGATGAACAGCAGGATATGAGCTTTTGATGTGTCACCATGTAGCTCTTGTTGTTCTATATATAGTGGGCCTGCGAAGTCCAATCCTACTACAGCTTTAAAATTCCCACGAGGTGAAAATCAGAAACACAACAGTGAAAATACAGTTGAATCTCGAAGGGGCCCGAAACTTTGTTCGAAATAAAAGAAGTTCTTGTTAATGAAAGCTAAATAAACAGAGGGCTCTCCATGCAGTGGCGCATGTGCATTGAGCTAACACGCGAGGGGGAAGTTTCAGAAGACTTGCATCAAACCACAGGACATCCGTTATTAATTGAAGTAATTGGTGATGCGTGTCTGCACACAGTTTGCCTTGCAGAGAGTCAATTTCGCATGCAGCTTGCAAAGCATTTCTACTTTGGCTTCACCATTCTCCTGGCAAGAGAAGTTGCGCGCGAAAATGTCCAGCGCCAACACTTTCTGAAGACGACAACAACCACTGCATAGCGGAGCCTCTCGCAGCCGCATCATGGCCAGCACGTGACGAGAAAGGAGGAGCGCCTCCATGCGAAGAGAAGCAGATCGGCATTTGAGAGAAAACCAACACTTCACAGCAGTTTTCTTTTTTTGCTCTCTTTGCATGCGTCATTGAAAAGAGAAGGGTTACGTGGCAGGGACGAGAAAGGGGGAAGTGTGGCACCTGCGCGTGAGAGACCCCCCCCCCTTCAAGGCGTAAGAGGCCGCAAGAGGCAAGGGCTGCAGAAGATAGTGCCTTTTTCCTTTCCTTCAACCACACATTCATTCAACCCAGCGAGAGCTTTTTTTTTTTTTCCTTTCTCGCTTCGCGCTTGGCATTGGAAGGAGAAGGGTCTTTACGTGGCAGGGACGGGAAAGGGAGAAGCGTGACCCGGGCGCGTCGCAGATCGGCATTTGAGAGAGAGCAAACATTCCACCGCAGCCTTTTCTTTCCTTTTCTTTTCCTTCGCGCGCAGCGTTGAGGTGTCGCAGGTGCCGCTGCGGGATTGGGCGGGGAGCTGAGAGCATTTTCGGAGCTCGATATTTTCGAATTAACCGTCGCAAGTGGTTGCGCGTTCGAATTACTGGACGTTTTCGCCCATTGGAATACACATAGCTCCGACGGGACTTCATCGTGAGTTCAAATTAACTGGAAGTTCGAATTAAGCGTGTTCGAATTAATGAGATTCGACTGTAGTAAAATACTTCTCCTTTTACACGTTGGATAGCGTAGGATGTCCACAAGTGCTCGTAACCGGACAAATATTGAAGTTGTAAATACTGACAACATGCTATCGATGGGGATAGGCCTGGTCATGAAAGTGTTAAGCCTGAATTTGTCAGAATGCTGATCCATGTCGGCATAAACAACATAATCGTCCAGAAAAAGTCTGACTTTCATCACAGGCGAGTGAACTGATAAGTAAAGATGGTTTATGTACACTAAAAACAATAATTGTGCAAGCACAGAGCCTTGCAGCACTCCTGAGTGAACGTCTAGCGTGTTATAAATGCTGTCAGTGACTGTCACAAGTTGTTTTCTTGAAGACAAAATGGTACGTAATCCAGGTGATAATGTTGTGGTCATTACCAATTGCATACAGTTTTGTAATTAAATCATCATGGGGTACTACATAGAATGCTTAAAAAAAAATCTACAAATTGAGTGAGTTTACAGTCACAAGTTATCTCAGCTAACCGAGTTGAGCTGGATATATCAGACTTAAATGCATGTTGATTGTCTTCCAGTTGTATAATAACAGCCTTAAATATTGTGTTCTAATAGGCTAACAAGCTCTGGATGTTAAGGACACTGGCCTGTAGTTATTTAATTGTAATGGGAAGCCATATTGATGAATTGTAACTGTCCTCGCTGAGTGCCAGTAATCAGGTATCGCACAATATTTTGAAGTTATATATATTTTATAGAAATATTCTGGCACACAGATAGCATATCTGCTAAGACAGGCATTTTTTTGGTTGATTTGTCATGAAGGAAGGAGAGCTTGACAAAAAAAAAAAAGGATATCTTGCTGCATTAATCTTTTCCTAGAATTGGCGTAGCAGGCTATGGAGCCGTTTCTTGTCGCCGTGTTTACGGTAGCGTTTGATCGTGTGCTTCATATGAATAAGATCGCGATTCATTCAGGGATACTCTCCATAAATATGCTTATTTTTTAATGGCTCATGAATGCATTCACAGTGGAATATCATACCGTATTTACTCGCGTAATGATCGCACTCGCATAATGATCGCACTCGCATAATGATCGCACCCCTAAATTTTGTCGTCTAAATTCGACCTTTTTTTCCCCCGCGTAATGATCGCACCCTGAACTTGCCGCATTGACATGTCATGTGCGAAGTTTAGCTGAACGCGCCTATCATTATTTCTGTGATCTGAAAGCGGGCATCACTATGCTAATGCCGTAAATTTACTGATTTAAATGAAAGAATTTCTTGTTTAGATGGAAGAAACTGTTTTCACGCATGTGACTTACTCACAACCTCCATAAATGACGCAAAGAAAAAAAAAATGCGGTGGCTTCGCTCCACGGAGTGCTTCGCTCCGTCAGCCGTCATGTTTGGTTTGACATCCCGCACTGTTACAGCGGTGGCCGCCTGTTGGTCGACCTGTGTTCATCCCTCAGCAATGTTTTTTTTTCCTGAGATTACTTTTTTTTTGGTGTGCTTTGTGATCGTCTGTTGAAGCACCGTTTCACCATGGGGCAGTATGCGAGCTTTACTGCCACGTTCAAGCTGAAGGCGCCTGACTACGCGCTAGAGCACAGCAACTGTGCTGCCGGCAGATATTTCGGTGTCAACGAAGTCCGGATCCGATATTGGAAAAAATAGCGCGGCATGCTCATGGCTACTAACAGCATGCGATGGGCTTTCCGTGAACCCAAATCTGGCAAGTTCCTTGACATTGAAAAGGCAGTGCTCGAATACGTGAAGGACATGTCGCAAGAACGGTTATGCAGTGTCATTAGACATGATATGGACGCAGGCGTGGTTTCCCGGAGGCTGAAAATAGCCACAAAGGACATCCGCGCCAGTTCCGGCTGGACGACTCGCTTCATGCGGCGGAATGGACTGTCGCTGGCATTTCCAACGCGCTCGACGGAATGGAAGATGACCCTCTGTGGGACAGTGAAGACACTGCTGGTTCCGACTGGTAATCGTGCGGCGACGACACTGACGCCAGTGATGCTTCGGAGTCTGAATGAACGTTAGGGGGTCAGAGAGGTAAAAAATAAAAGGGCAGTGTGCCATGCATGTAATGCATGGCACACTCCTGCGTAATGCGTGCATTTTATTACAAGGGTAAGCCTTAATTTACTTTTATTTTTGGTTATGTTCATGATAGCTACTGTAAAAATTCTGATTAGCGACTTTTTTGCATTTCCGGTGCTCAGAATATATTTTCACGGAAAAGTTACCCGCGTAATGATTGCATCCCGAAGTTGAAGTCAAGTTTAAAAAAAAAAAAGTGCGATCATTATGCGAGTAATACGGTAGTTTTGAAATGCGACCACAACTCATTGAAGTCAGGCTATTATCTATTACTTCTATTTTGCACGCGTCATATGTATTGGTTTGTTTATGGACTGTTTTTTATTGCAGTGCCCACTCGCCATTCATTGTGTTAGGCTGCAGACTAGTCCAGCTGCTTCCCGGCAGATGTTTCTTCATTGTCCTCAACCTGTAAAATTGTACAAAGTAGAAATAAAGTTTTTTTGGTTTGATTTGAAAATGTCCATTATTATAGCAATTACACACACCCGCAATTTTATTTTTAATGCTCGTCTTGGTGTGGGTCAAGCAGGAGTCTGTCCAGCCAACCTGACGAGTGGGACGAGAGCCCCCAGCCGCAAGGGGTACGCACTGCCCTGATGGCCCACCAGCGACAAGCCCTGCAATGGATGCTTTGGAGGGAGGAGCAAGAGGCTCCGGGGGGCATTCTCGGTGAGCTGTGCAAGCTTTGAAAAACAGGCGGGGTGCATGACAATCATATGCTAAGTGGATAGAAGCAGCGGAGAATCACGCCAGCAGTGATGAGGCATTGGTAGAAAGAAGTTGGAAAGAGTATCTCTTATGATAGTTTGGAGGGTCGGTCAATCTCTTTGAGAGTTGGAAAGAGTATCTCTTATGATAGTTTGGAGGGTTGGTCAACCTCTCTGGGAGTGAGGAGTTTCGGCAAGAAATTGGCTGGTGGCAGTTAATTGTGGAGACAAGGCGTGAAATGCATTGTCAGAGACACTAAGTTAGTATGGGACTGATAAAGGGAAAAGCACATAACAATATTCCTAAAGGGCCAATCTCTAGGTGCCCATAAAAAATTTTAGTTAGACCGTGGAAGTTGTGTGTCTGATGAGGAGCATAACAATATTCTTAAAAGGCCAATCTCCAGGTGCCCATAAAAAATTTTAGACAGTGGAAATTGTTGTGCGTCTGATGAGGAGCCTTATGCCACAAAAATTTTTTCATTCGGTTCATTACGAGCTGAGAAAAAGTTTTTCTTAAGTGGCACGAAACGTGGATGAGAGGAGGCGAGCTCGAAACCCTTGCTGCTTCTTCGCGTTGCCTTCGCAAGCCAAATCTCTTCCCCACTCTCTTCGGCATCCGACCAATAGGTCACGTGCGCATGATGTGCCCAAACAAGTCCGACCCCCAAGCACGCGGGCGGCGTTGCTTTGTTGACCAGCATTTTTTGTGGTTTTCTGCCTGTTTCTGCGGGATAGTTTGGAAACGCTTAGACGCAGTAGAATAGATGAACACAATAAGTGCAGTTGATCGACGTAGCGCGTTTAGAAACATAGGACAAGGGAAGGGACAGAAGGGTACGCTTACTTCCAACAAAATCTTTATTTCGAGGAGCGTACATATATATGCTCACGAAATTCAAAGACAACGGATAAACAGATGAAAAACCCTCTATTGCCATGCGCTAAAAACTTAAGATCTCAAGAACGACAATTCTTTTTCACAAAGACCGAGAGAAGGAGTGCTGACACAGTTTAGCCCTGATCTACTAATCTTTTCTGCTTCAATAATCTCCCTTGTCACTTTATTTCTGTTTATTCCTATGATTACCGTATCATGAAAAAGTGGTTTGCAGCCACACGTGCTGCAATGTAGTGCCAAAAAGCCATCTCGACCATTTCTTACGTTGCAAGCGTGTTCACAGAGCCGGTCATTGATGCACCTGCCAGTTTGTCCTATGTAGTATTTACCGCATGAAAGAGGTATCTGATAGATTACAAATTGCGCGCATGTGACAAACAGTGTTAAGTGCTTTTTAGAGCATCCCGGTTTTGCATGTGAAACAACTTTCATACACAAGTACGAGAGCTTTTTCGGGGCAGAAAACACCACTTTTACATTGGCCCGCTCCCCAACCTTTTTCAAGTTGTGGGAGATTCCATGCAGATAAGGCACTACGGCAAGCTTCTGTCGTCTTACTGGCTCAACATGAGGGAGAGCTTGCTGCAAGGACTGAAGCTTCTTGACCAAAATACCCGCGACGGAAACCTGTACGTGAGAGGGGTAGCCAGCGTCCAGAAATCGTTTTGCTTGTTCCTTAAAACTAGCTGCCATCACATGTGGACAAGACCTCTGTAAGGCGTTACTAAAGCACATATTTACAATGCCTCGTTTTACGAGCTTAGTATGGGCGGCGTGGTACAGAAGCAAGGGTTTGTTACTCCTCGGCTTGTACATCCAACAAGTGTGGTCTAGGTGAAAAATGAGAGCGATATCTAAAAATCTGAGAGTGTTATTAACAGGCAACTCATGGGTTAAAACAAGGGGACTAAACCGCTCCTTGATGAAGTTGAAGATATCTAGGGCACAAAAAGTGGGGTCACAGTCAAGAAGAATGAGGAAGTCGTCAACGAACCTAAAGATGCGCATGATTCGGTTGTCACTAAGGTCACCGGAAACGGTTCTGTCGAGCTTGGCTAAAAACAAATCACTTAAGATTGGAGCAATGCATGATCCAATACAAATGCCCTCCTTTTGAAGGCGGGGTTCCCGTTCCATTGAATAAAAGTAGATTTCAAATAAAAGGATAAAAGTTCTAAAAAGCTACTAGACGATATACCAGCACTATTCTGAAATGTTATGCTACCAAGCTTGTCAATGCACTCTTCTACACAATTAAGAATCGATTTGTGAGGCAACGAATAATACAGATCTTTTACATCAATGGAAAAACCACACATGTGCTGATTCGAACGGGGTCGGACGAAATCAAGAACTTGATGGGAATTTTTCACGAGAAATGGGTCATCTACTGTTAATAGACCAAGCTTACTTTGTAAAAACAACGCAACATTTTTTTGCCACATGCCATTTTCTGAAACGATAACACGAAATGGTTTTTCAGGCTTATGCGTTTTCGCACTGAAGAATACCTCAAGCCAATCTTTTTTGCTATTTGCTATGTCGCTAACAAGTTTACTGAGGTCGAGCTTTTCACACATCTTTTTTGCCTGAGACTTGACTTTAGAAAGAACAACATTATCGTAATTTTTGAAAACAGATGAAACAGCTTCACTTGCTTTAGAACTGAAAAGCTTGTAAGAAAGAACAGCAAACCCTCCTTCCTTGTCGGCTGGAAGTACTGGCGAGGGCGTTGTTCCTAAGGTAGGCCTCCACTTTTCTCAGCGGCAATTTGAAAGAGTGTTGCTTCGAACGAAGGAGCACATCAACACCTGCTGACACACACCGGTCATGTTCCGAGTCAGTTGCCTTCCCAGAATTCGGCGGACCAAGGAGAGCCTTTCAGGTGCGGAAAGCCTTGACTCTACCGCAAACTTCGGTCCTAGTGACAGGGTTTTCGACACTTCCGGGGGCAGCTGTAACGGCTCCAGCCTGTGAACGCTACTCTTGCCTTTATCATCCCGTCTTGTTGCCGATCTGAAAAACCATTTCGCCTGAAAAGCCTGAAAAACCATTTCGTGTTATCGTTTCAAAAAATGGCACGTGGCAAAAAAATGTTGCGTTGTTTTTACAAAGTAAGCTTGGTCTATTAACAGTAGATGACCCATTTCTCGTGAAAAATTCCCATCAAGTTCTTGATTTCGTCCGACCCCGTTCGAATCAGCACATGTGTGGTTTTTCCATTGATGTAAAAGATCTGTATTATTCGTTGCCTCACAAATCGATTATTAATTGTGTAGAAGAGTGCATTGACAAGCTTGGTAGCATAACAATTTCAGAATAGTGCCGGTATATCGTCTAGTAGCTTTTTAGAACTTTTATCCTTTGATTTGAAATCTACTTTTATTCAATGGAACGGGAACCCCACCTTCAAAAGGAGGGCATTTGTATTGGATCATGCATTGCTCCAATCTTAAGTGATTTGTTTTTAGCCAAGCTCGACAGAACCATTTCCGGTGACCTTAGTGACAACCGAATCATGCGCATCTTTAGATTTGTTGATGACTTCCTCATTCTTCTTGACTGTGACCCCACTTTTTGTGCCCTAGATATCTTCAACTTCATCAAGGAGCGGTTTAGTCCCCTTGTTTTAACCCATGAGTTGCCTGTTAATAACACTCTCGGATTTTTAGATATCGCTCTCATTTTTCACATAGACCACATTTGTTGGATGTACAAGCCGAGGAGTAACAAACCCTTGCTTCTGTACCACTCCGCCCATACTAAGCTCGTAAAACGAGGCATTGTAAATATGTGCTTTAGTAACACCTTACAGCGGTCTTGTCCACATCTGATGGCAGCTAGTTTCAAGGAACAAGCAGAACGACTTCTGGACGCTAGCTACCCCTCTCACGTACAGGTTTCCGTCGCGGGTATTCTGGTCAAGAAGCTTCAGTCCTTACAGCAAGCTTTCCCTCATGTTGAGCCAGTATGACGACAGAAGCTTGCCGTAGTGCCTTATCTGCATGGAATCTCCCACAACTTGAAAAAGGTTGGGGAGCGGGCTAATGTAAAAGTGGTGTTTTCTGCCCCGAAAAAGCTCTCGTACTTGTGTATGAAAGTTGTTTCACATGCAAAACCGGGATGCTCTAAAAAGCACTTAACACTGTTTGTCACATGCGCGCAATTTGTAATCTATCAGATACCTCTTTCATGCGGTAAATACTACATAGGACAAACTGGCAGGTGCATCAATGACCGGCTCCGTGAACACGCTTGCAACGTAAGAAATGGTCGAGATGGCTTTTTGGCACTACATTGCAGCACGTGTGGCTGCAAACCACTTTTTCATGATACGGTAATCATAGGAATAAACAGAAATAAAGTGACAAGGGAGATTATTGAAGCAGAAAAGATTAGTAGATCAGGGCTAAACTGTGTCAGCACTCCTTCTCTCGGTCTTTGTGAAAAAGAATTGTCGTTCTTGAGATCTTAAGTTTTTAGCGCATGGCAATAGAGGGTTTTTCATCTGTTTATTCGTTGTCTTTGAATTTCGTGAGCATATATATGTACGCTCCTCGAAATAAAGATTTTGTTGGAAGTAAGCGTACCCTTCTGTCCCTTCCCTTGTCCTATGTTTCTAAACGCGCTACATCGATCAACTATGTCTTACCAACATGCCCAACTTTATACTCTAGACAATAAGTGCAGGAATACGTAGGAGCATTACTTTCGCTTCCACGGCTGTCATCTGCTCGATGCGCTGACTGCAGAGACACGAATGCATGTGAAACGTCTGCACATTAGCCCTGCATCTCGAAGCAATTCACAAGAAAAAAAAATGAAAAAAAGATGTGCACATTCTCTTGTTCGGTCGCATCATTTATCTAAAGTTTTATTAATCTCGTCAAGCAATAAATTACATAAACTACGCATGTGTTAAATAATTTTCGCTATGTCATGTGCTACTGTTGGCAACGTCAGAGCGCAGTCGTCTACGTAAAGGACCAACGTCACAGCACTGCCGTGTATGTAGGGCAATTCGTGCGTACACGTCATGCCCTCATCAGGCGCGCGCCCGC